GGTTGTCTCCCTCTGCTCCAGAGGTTGGAGGTCCCCATGTGCCCCTCTCCAGTGTCCCCGCACACCCCAGGGGTTGAAGGTCCCTGCCTGCCCCAGGGGTCCTGCCTGCCCTGGGGTTGGGATGTCCACATCTATCCCAGAGGCTGGAGGTCTCTGCCTGCCTCCCCCTCTGCAGGGGTGGGGGAGTGGAGGACCTGTCCACCCTAGAGGCTGCAGGGCCTGGACAGTGGGAAGTGGAGATCCCTGACTACTCCCACCGACTGGTCCCCACAGAGTTCAGGTCCCTGCCTGTCCTGGGGACCCACCTTCAGCAGGGGTTGGAGGTCCCTGACTGTCCCCAGCGGGTCCTCACCTTGGGGGGGGTGGAGGGGAGGAGGTCCCTGCCTGCCCTGGGAGGATGCTGAGGATGGAGGCCACATGGCTGACCTGTGGTGCAGGTGTTCAGGGTGGAGGTGCTGTGCAATGGCCGGCGGCACACCGTGGCGAAGCGCTACAGCGAGTTCCAGGAGCTACACAAGCGGGTGAGACCCCCCAGGCACCATGGAAGGGACATGGGTGGGTCCATGGTGGCCCTGCACCTGCGCAGGACAAACCAGCTCCCCAGAGCAGGGAGGACCAGCCTCATGGTCCACGCTGCCATGATGTGCCTCATGGTCTACCCTAGATCAAGAAGACCTGCAAGGTCCCTGACTTCCCCCCCCGCCATGTCCCCAACTGGATGCCCAAAGTGCTGGAGCAGCGCCGACAGGGCCTGGAGCTTTATATCCAGGTAAGGTGCTGGCTTGGTGGGGGCCTTTGGGTTTGGTGTGTGGTGGGGTTTTTTTTTTTTTGGGGGGGGAGGGAGAGGAGGAGCTGCTGATCCCCCCGCCCTGGGTGCATGGCAGGGTGTCCTGTACCACAATGAGGAGCTACCCCAGGACGTGCTGGACTTCCTGAAGGTGCGGCATTGCCAGCAAGACCCCAAGGCCAGCAGTCCCCTGTGAGTAGACGAGCAGTGGACAGTACTGTCCAGCTCTGCTGGCACCCAGTTTATCCTGCACGGTGCTGGCATCTCTCCCCTCACCTATGTTAAGCACCCCAAGACGCAGGTTTGGGATGCTGGGGACAGGCATTGGGCTGGCACACGGCTGGGCCACTTGGGGTAAAAGTGGGAGCCCTTGCTGGGCACTGATGTCCCTTCTCCCATGGCAGCGCTGGCTGCCTGACCTCCCAGCGCCCTGTCATTGGCTTCTGCACTGACCCCTACGTGCGGCCACCAGGCACCGGTAAGAAGCGGGACCACGTGTGGCAGGTTCCCCAAAGCCTCCAAGGGAAAAGGTTCTTTTGGGACCCCAAAACTTTTTTCTTCTAATGGGGCCTGGGAGGGAAATGAGGCTGCTCCAGTTCACCCCTTTCCTTGCAGACCTGCTCCCTGACGCTGTCCTCAACGGGGTGCTGCAGGGCCTGTACCTCCCCCTAAGCTGCATCCCCAGCCAGGCACTGTCCCAAGCCCCTGGCTTGCCAGGCTCCTGAGCACCCACCCAGGGCTGCAGTGGTGAGTGGCCAGGCAGCAGAAAGGATCACTGCAGTAAAAATTAACTCCTCCCCACTGGGATGGGGCAGGAAACCTGGGTGGGAGAAGCCAAGGGGTACAGTGGGAGCCACAGCTGCTCTCAAGGCCAGCACTGCTCACCCACTACCATCCAAAGTGCCTTTGTTGGGAGAGCAGGAGCTCTGACTTCTACCCTGATGTTTCAGGGTTGTGGTAGGAGCCTTTGGACCCTGAATCGTGCTGGAAAACCCCTCAGCATCTGGGTTTCAGTGCAATAAATCACTTGGGTTTGATTGGCAGAAGATGGCTGTGCTCTGTAATTCTGCAAAGCAAATTCAGGGCCAACTGTGGCATCACTCTTGGCTTGATGAAACATGAAAGAAGGGGGCTGGAGGGTTGAGGGATGCATAAGCACTCCCCTCTGAGAGCAGAAGAGAGGCAACTCTTTAAAAAACACATTGGTCACATTTATTGGTGCATGTGCTTCTTACAAAAGTGATGGGAAGAGGAGCTAGTGCCCCGTGCTGCCCACTGGCCGGCTGGAAGGTGGCAGGGTGAAGGGGGAGGCTGGGCAGCAGGGATGCAGGGCTCTGCCGCTGCTCACCGGCCCTGGGACAACAGGGAAATGCATGGGGGGGGAGCAGGGCAGCCCCAGGCCCGCAGCCCTTCGCAGCCGGGTCCCTTAGAGAGTGCAGGGCCCCGCGCCATGTCGTGGAGCCGGGAGGGTGGATTACTCTTTGGCAATGGCAAATGGCTTCTCCACCTCGATGGTGCCACAGTCAGCAATAGCAACATCCTTCAGGGGCTTGTCCCGGCTGTCTGTCTTAGTGTTCTCCACCTTCCTCACCACGTCCTGGGGAAAGCAGAGGCATGAGAGTGGGGCAATGCTGGGCACAGGCTGAGGCAGTTCAGTGCAAGCCCTACCCCAGAAGGCACCTCCCAGCCAATTCTCCATAGCACTCTGCCCCCCGCCAACTTACCTAGGCAGCATCTGCCTGGTCCCACTCTCCCCCTGTGAATCGATCACCCCATTACCACCCATCACCCCCTTACCATGCCCTCCAGCACTTTGCCGAACACCACGTGCTTGCCGTCCAGCCATGGCGTCTTCACTGTGGTGATGAAGAACTGGGAACCATTGGTGTCCTTGCCGGCGTTGGCCATGCTCACCCAGCCAGGGCCATAGTGCTTCAGCTTGAAGTTCTCGTCAGGGAAGCGATCCCCATAAATACTTTTTCCTAAGGTGGGGGAAAAAAGGCCACATTGCTCTCACAGAAATATGTCAGGGTAGGGATGATGATGGCAGCTCTCTCCACAGGATGGGGGGGGGGAATGAGAACATCTGGGGGGGGAGGGGGGCTAACTACCAACACCACACAGCTGCAGGGAACCATGAGCTACCTGCTACCAGAGGCAGCTAAAAGCACCCCAGAAGCTAGGCAAGAGGGATCATGCCCCCAGGGGACTGGAGCAGGAGGCTGTGTGAGAGCACACCTGATAAGAGTTTACAAGCCCAAATGCTGATATTGTCAACTTTAGTAATGTTTGCTAAGTGCTGGTGGTAGGTTTGGACTCTGCTGCTACCCGACTAAATGTGTCCTAGCAGCCAGGACGCCTGGCAAAGGCACCAGCTGCTGCACAGGAAAGTTTTCTTAGTGAGGAGCACCAGGTCCTCCCCGGGCAGAGGGCACAGTTACATGGGTAATATTCAGGTACCAGCCAGCCAAGCCCATCCCTCCCCAGCACCAAGCTCTGCTTCGAGGCCAGGTCTCTATGAGCTGTGTACCCACTCATGCCCACTCGTTCCCACTGTGGCACCATGCTCCAGCTCCCCACCGGTCCCCAGAGATAGCCAGGCAGTAGGCTGGGAGCATGGCTGCTGTCTTGCTTCAAGACAGCAGCTGGATCCTTGGGCTGGCATGGGCCAAATTACCTCCAGTGCCATCTCCACGGGTGAAGTCTCCTCCCTGAATCATGAAGTCCTTGATGACACGGTGGAACTTGCTGCCCTTGAAGCCAAATCCTTTCTGGGGGTGCGGAGAGAGAAAATGGAGTGAGGCAAAGGGATGGACTAGAGCTCCCTCTGTCTAGCTCTGCCCCGGGGTGCCAAGCAGAAGCCCAGAGGGGCGGATGAGGCCCAGCCAGGCAGCTGCTGTCTCCTCACCTCTCCGGTGGCCAATGCCACAAAGTTTTCCACTGTCTTGGGCACCGTCTTGCCAAAGAGCCCAATGACGACGCGGCCCACATCCTCCTCGCCGATCCGCAGGTCGAAGAACACCTGGGG